ATGAAGCACAGAGCCGTAGCTAGAGTTTTCAGCACCCGGGGAGAACTGAAGAATTTTCGCCCCTTCTCTAGAATGAAATTTTCGCCCCTCCCCTAAGAATGAAAAACATTTCATTCTAAAATTTTGTAATATCAATTTGGCCCCCTATGCGCCGGGGTACAAATGTCCCCTCCTAGCTACACCATAGATGAATCTTTTAAATGATCAGTTTTCAATTCTTTATTAATAGAAAAATTCCTTTTTATAAAAGCCTGTCCATGCGATAAGAATAGAAGCATTTTTGATATTTTCCATGCTTGTGTCTAGTGAAAAGTAGAGAAAACAAAGCGAAGATAAACATGTTAAGAGGAAAAAGTGTAAAATTAATTTTAAAGAGAAAACTGATGCATATTGAGACAATTACATGGGGAAAACTCTTACCGTGAAAAAATTTAAAACGAAGGCATTTTTAATTAATTACATAGCTATTTTATTTTTGCAAAGAATTGTAATTGTTTCATAAATTATGCTAAAGTGCAGTTTAAGCATTTATTACCTTATTTTTCAGATTCACAATATTGTATAAAAAGTCGCCAAAATGGAAATGTATATGATAGCGAAAAATGTTTCAATTTTATTTAATTTTATTTCTTGAATGCAATTTCAGTATATCGTTATTTTAATGAAATTAATCAATGTTATAGTATTTTAAATAAATATAAAAACATTCCCAGATTTCCAAATTAAAAATTTTGTATAGAAACTGATCTTTAAATCGCCAAATTTGGAACCAATTAATAAAGAATTCACATTCCCAAAAGCGAAAAATTTGTTCAAGAGCTCTTTATTAGAAAAAAATGGAATAATTTTGAAATGCTTATGTTTCACTTCTTGCTCAGAAACTTGAGTATCCCACTGTTTATATTAGAAATAAGGAACAAATTATAATCCATGAACCTATTCACTCATTCACAAGATAACTATATCAATGAATTGCCAAAAATATGTGTCCAAAATGCTATTCATATTCAAAATGCATCGTAAAGAAGACAAATTCCAGATGATTAAAATTATGGTTTTAAGGACCAAAATCGATCCAAAAAAACATAAGGACTTTAACAGGGTGCCACTCAAACCGATGAAATTCCCTGCTTTCCGTAGCAAATTCCTTAATATTCAATAATCCCAGAGGAATTTATATTATATTCTGTACACTTTGTTTACTTTTCCACTAGAAACTTATAAATTTAAGATATATACATTGGATAACATTGTACGTTTTTTTAATTATACTCATGATCATCACCAGTTCAATACGAGGCTAATCGGTTCTTATAAATCACAAGCAATGTAAAGTAGGTTAGATTTTAGGTAAATTTATTATGAGGTGTCTTCTAAAAGGCACCTTAACACTGAAAACACAATATAATTATAATAGGAGTTGTTTTCTCCTGAAGATTGAGATTAGAATCTGCCCAATCTGGAAAAAAAAGTCTTTTTTGCAGACATTTGCAGCTAAACGAAATAAAAATCTATTTAATGATATTTTTTTAATAAATTGAGGTTTTTATATTTATTTCGCAGCATACATAATAAAAAAAATATGTGCATTAAATTTCGTGATGGTATGTCATCATACTGCTAGAATTAATTTCAGGAATTATGCCAGAGAAAAATTGCCTGAAATTTGGAAATATATTTACTAATGATAAATAAATTTAGAGGAAGAAGCAACATTAAATGATATGAATAACATAAAATAAAGATAATTACTTAAAAATTGAATTAGAATAATCAACGCTATTTAGCGAATATAGTTAATTACATGGTTAGCCTAGATGACTGGTTACTATTTTTTTATTTACTACTTGACAAGGTATTATTAAAAAGGAAAGAAAAAAAATAGGTTTAAAAGATTTGCGGTAAAACCCTACTATACGAGGGCTTCGCACGATTTGAAATTGTCGCCAAGACAAAAGACCCGTTTACCTGCTCATGATCATGTCAAGAAATGTTCTTGACAAAAAGAAAACTACGAAAATCCTTTTTAACTTATTGCGAAAAATCCAGAAAACGTTTACAAAGACATTTTTCTTGGTTTTTCGCAACAATTTTAAAAACGGATTTTCATAGTTTTTTTTTTTCCTCAAAATAATAACATGAATTAATTTTGCGCCAAAAATATTTTCTTTTCCTCTAGAGTTTAAGAAAATTTTAAACGATATTCATTTTGAACTCTTGATAAGTGACCTTCGAACTTCAACACCGGTTTCGAACTTTGGCGTCATATATATCGCGCATGCACAGTGTTCCCTCTATGATGGAACGGAGCCACCTCTGTTCAAAAGAGTTTTCCTTCTTTACATACATATTCTTGATTCTAACTTCATGGTACCGTATACTAGGATTAAACCCATTGTTTATACGAGAACAGGTACTTTCTTTAGTTCGTGCACTGCACATGCGATTCTCGAGGTTACTGGAACCAAAGTTGCGGGAAACTGCTTTGCCTTTCTAAAGCAATCAAATTGGAGCTGCGAAAATTGGCTCTATGCCAGCTGCCCGAATGACACCGTGATACACATTCGCCAAACAAGTGACTCTTCCGACGTCGGCGCAAATCGCCTTTTTTGGCGGAAACGTGTATGAAATTCTCTGACTTTTCCAGATTTTGACTAAAACTTAAATTCCCTACTTTGGTCAGTTCCGAATTCCTGACTTTTTTCCGGTTTTCAGGTAGTGGTGGCAACCCTGTTTAACCCTTTGCGGTCGTATTCCACCCACCACCAAAGCCTTTTTACCGTTTCTATGTCTGCTATGTCCGTCTCATGTCCTCTCAGGACCAGCCTTTCCGTTCCGGCGTATGTCTGCTCTCAGCCACCACATCAAGGACTATACGAATTGTTACTATCATTCATGTATCAGTTTACACTTTCCAATACGAACCTCAATGCCTAAGAACCTATTCACAAACCAATACGGTGCTCCATCGATTGGAGATAAACATAATCTAATCTAAACAAAAGCACTCGCCATGCAAGACGCAGTCGTCTTTGAACATAATGAAATCGCAACATTCGATGATCCCTGTAGAATTCCAAAGAATATTTTATAAATATATAACAGTTAATTAGACATTCTTCTTCTTAAAATATTCCAAAATAATTCCCCAAAATTCAGCTAGAAGAGAGAGCAGGATACTTATGCCATATTTTATGTTTGCCCGAAAATTGGTGGTACACTGGTAGGTGATTTTCGTGACTGAGCAGATTCAAAACCAGGAAGACCATCGAAAGAAGAGACTTAATGGAAAACTGCACATATTGTGGCATTGTGAAAAGTAAAAAGTAAGATTGTAGTGTATGTTCAAACAGAAAGATTAAGGGTGGAAGGCACAAACAAATTTTTGCGATACATGCACGAAAATTGGCCTGATGTTGGAGAGTGTTTGAAAAATTCACACGAAGGAGAATTATAAACATAATTTTTATACAAAAACATATCACTAGATTAGTGTACTGAATAAAGATATATCTAAAGTTAAAAAAAGAATTACTAAATCTTGTTTATCCATCGTAAACTTGCGTGTTATGTATCCCTGCTCTGCGCAAAAGGTTAAGGACCATATGAACCCTGGTATAATAAAAAAAATTCGATGGAGAGTCAGAAAAAGAAAATGAGCTATACACCCATGATTATGAATTTTATGACGAACCAAAACAAACAAGATATTTTTCCCAATAATCAGGGATACAGGAAGCAGTGAGAGCACTTACTTAGCAACAGTATCGAAACCCAACATAGAATACTTAACAGAAAACCCATCAGCATCGGACTGAAACATTATAATTAAAATCGCATGATATCTGAGAGCTACAATTAATTACAAATTATATCTGAAATCTAATGGTGCACCAGTCATCAAAGCTTACAGAGATGCTGATTGGGTAGGAGATACATCAAACAGAAAATCCACATCTGGATATATATTTCAAATATGAAACAGTACAGTATCATAGACAGAAAAGAAACAAAATTGTGTCACCTTATCTTCAACAGGAGCCAAATACATCGCTCTAGCTTTAACTTTGTGGATGAAACAACTGATGGAGAACGACTTCAATAGGAAGGTAATATATTCAAGGACAATATATCCTGCTTAAATCTTTTCACGAAAGAAAATTACAGTAGCTATATCAAACACATCAATGTTGTAAAATATAACTACGCCTGTTATCTATAAAATCACGGAATTGTAAAATTACAACACTGCAACAGCAAAATGTTGTATGCAGACATGTTCACGAAACCCTCGAGACAACAGCTGGAATTTTGTTAAAAGGTTGATCTTACTCTGGATGAAACAGCTCGAGTGAGAGATTGTGAAGCAATCATCATTCAAAATGAAAGAAATTAAACTGTGCCTACGAAATTACTTTCCCTCACCCCTGCTAACAGGAATTGAAGTTATCCCAAAAAAAGACATCTCTTGTAAGCTCCAACATTACTTAAGATCCATTCTTCCAAAAACATAAATGTTTTTGTTTTCTAATTAAGCTTCTTACATACAGCAAGATGGAATACCCATTAATGAGGCAAGAGACTATCATTCTATTTTATTTATCTGGTCATCCCAAATAGCCTGCATGTAGATAGTAAACAAATGAACTGCGTGAACCTTCAACATTAACCATATTGAAAATGTGTATTTATGGAAACCTCCTGGAAGGGATAAAAATGTACTTCAGAAATTTGACTTTAAGTTACAAGAATGAAATGATGATTTGATTCCCTATAAGGTAGTTTTGAGCATTAAAAACTGATAACCAGGTTTAAAAAAAATTGCAGTGCATATTGTCCCATATGTATATTGTTGTTCAATATTAAATGACATCACATTAATCAATTAGAAAAATTTCTTTAGTATATACTTTTAGCATTTTGTCAAATAAATAAGATTCATGAATGAAACACAAATATTTCAATAAAATCAGACTAAAATAATGAACTAGTCATTTATATACAAATGTCTTCATCTTTATTATATACTTAAATAATCACTTTCATTGATTTAATGTTTTTGGTAATTAAAATAATCATTTGACAAACAAAATTTTGTATATAAAGCGCAAACTAATATATACATAAAGTTTATATATACTTAATCAAAACAGGCAAAAAGGATTCTCTGAATATTATAGGTTACCGAAAATTATTTTGATTAAATCCAAAGGTAATAAATTTGATAAAACAGGTTCCTATATAATTTTCTTTTAGCAACTTTTAACAAGATTTACATATACAAAATATGTAATTTAGTATCACATAATTGGTTAAGGAAACCATTTGTAAACATTATGTCTCTAAACTATAAAGTAAGAAAGAAATGAAATTCATTCTTTGATGCAGTGTACAATTTAATTATCTAATCAATATTTACATAAGGCAATATTTGAAAACGTTCCCCTAAATAAGATCTTTGTTCAGTACATTCTTCCCACGGCCTCCAAGTACCATGGCAATCATACACACCATTCACATATTCCAAAGGTTCTGATAACCTATTTAAATCATCACTTGTAACAGATGTAGGTCGTTTTGGTGATGAAGCATTATCTTCAAGATTAATTTCATCTGGATTTATAGCAGGTAAATCTGAAAGAATCCTATTGATTTCCTCATCAACAGGATCAGGTTGACAAATGCAAGGGGGAATATCTGAGTTCCTATTTATCACAGAAGAAACATCTGAAACAGAATGTACACCATAATCATTTACAGAGATACTAGATTCATAAGTTGGGCTCTCTTCATTGCTCTCATGTCGAACAGACTGAGATGATATCAAAAACTTTTTGAGTAATTCAGACTTCGTTTGAGACACTTCAGCTTCAGAACTATGAAGGGAATCAACAGTAGTCAAATTATTAGGAGAAAGTACAGTGCCTTTTTTAGCATGTAAATCAGCTATTAGCTGCTGAGTTGTTTTCACTTTTGGAAGTTTTGAGCCCGAAGGCAAGGAAGCTATCATATCTCCCAGTCGATTTTCCTGAAGCTCATTTTTTTCAAAGCTCCTTTTCCTCTTTGGGGTTTTTGAATTAGTAACTATAAGTGTCTTATCACCTTCAATTGATTTGGAATTAAATAAATTAACATTCTTGAATGCAGAACTCTCACTAGGTAAAATACTTTCAGTCACATCACTCATTCCATTGCCAATTCTTGATTTAGAGTTACTAACAACTTCTTTAGGTGAAGGACTATAGGACATTTTTCGTAGCCGTTTATTAGCAGCATTTGTTTTTGCAATGTCTAGGGTGGAATGAGCAACAGTACATGGTAATGGAGGAGATGCATCTTGAGAACACAAATTCACAGATGTATTCAATAACGGACTACTAGAGCTTGAATTGGTCCTAAGCCCTAGGTTGACATTAGGACTACAAGTTCTTAGAGAAGGCAACACATTTGTTCCACTGGATGTCATATTACTACCTTGCCTACCAGCAGATGGACTTATAGGCTTAAACAATTGACTGGAAGTCATGTTTTTACTTTGATTACTAACATTAAGTAAGCTTTTGTTTACAGAGTTAGTAAACTTAACTGGAGCATAGTTAGATGGCATAGGTAAGTTTGTTCCCTGAAGTACAGAAGAATTTAATAATGGGCTGTTTGAGGCACTAGAGAAGTAGGGACTAGAAGATCGTTCACCCATCACTGATGGACTTGAAGTTTTGTATCTTGGAGTTCCAGGCACTGAAACACTTGTCTTTAACATTCGATTTCCTGGTCCAGGTCCTGGCCCAAATCCTGGGCCAGGACCTGGACCTAGAACTGTCATGCTACCAGAAGATGAGCTAACACTGTTGATGACTTCTTCGCCATTGACACGTTGAGGATTTTGTGGAAGGAGTTTTCTCCAGCTCTTAACTAGCTCTTTAGCTCTCCTAGCAAGTTGCTCATTGTTTGTCCTTTTTCGAAGTTCATTAATATACTTCCCAATTCTTGTTTTCTGAAAATAAAACAAGAAAAAATCTCAACAAATTAACTAAAGCATGTAATTTAGCATATATAACATAAAACTAATCCATCATTCTTAAAATTCTTCATTTTCTAAAACATTGCAAGCAACAATAATATGCAAGTATGTGAGGATATGAAATACGCTGTTATACTTATGGATGTTTAGCTTGAAAGAAACAACTGTATGCACATTCACCATGCATCTCTGGAGAGGACATTGAAAGGTCAACTCACAATATAATATAAAGATCACATCAAAGAATGACTAAGGTATGTATGTATGTAATCAAGTGACACAATGTCGGTTAAGGAAAAGCTAAATAAATATCTTGCAAGTGAAGTAAATTCAACAGAAACATAGTTATATATAGTAATACTTAAAATCTATGTGCATATTCATAGCTTATTTTTTCCCCCTCTAGTTTCCTACTTGAAGTTCAAAACAACAGAACTAACTCCAAGTGTAATGAATTCAGTGCTCTCCATACAAGATTGCTTTAATGATATAAAAAGAGAACCCATAATGTTTCTTCCATGTTGATACATTTAAAAATACACAATACGTTAATTAAATATATGGGATAGAAATTAATTTATTAGGTTATATTACTAAACAGTCTTTCAAGATAAAAAGCATAAATCGATGGACAAAGGTCAATCTTGGTATTATGTCGCTCTTTTCACTAGAAGTAAACTTTGAACAGGTAATTTTACATTAAACAACAGTATTTGCAATATTCCAATGATCTCATTATTTGCTTCCTATCTCTAAACTTTTGAGAAGCATTGCTGCTTTTATTTGATCATGACTTTTTTTAATTTGATACATATTACCTTATTATTTAAAATATGTTTTTGTATTTGCTTTAATGGTTTAAATAGCATCTTAATGAATAAAAGTTTACGGAAATACAGACCAAATTACTAAAAACTTTATTAAGATTAGTCACAATAAACCTTACCACATTCTACAAAACCATAACAAACTCTCTAGATGACAGATACATTTTAACACTTTTTTTTTACGATTTAAGAAAATATCAATGTTGCCAAAACATTAAAACTTAAAATTACACTTTATAAACAAACATTACCAATTTCCCCCTTATTTGTGTTTAAAGCAATAATTTTATTCAGTCAGTCATGTCCATACTTTAATAGTTAATCTTTCAATTTCACCCTAGGTAGATATTTTGTTAAAAATATCCGCTTCTTGACTTTGTGAACACACAAACTGAGGAATGATTTGATTCATTTCATATTCACCTTTTACAAAGAAATATTTTCTATTTATGTGCCTTGAACTACTACTTTGTTTTGCTTTTCTTATCCAATCTATTATTGCTTGACAGTCTGTTTTAATTTCTATTGGTTTTTCAATTTGATCATCTTGTCCCAATTCTTCAAGTAAAAAGATGTATCATTTAACTTCACATGCACATTCACAGAATGCTAAAAGTTCAGCTTCCATTTTAGATAGAGCAACTAATCTTTGTTTGTTGCACTTCCAATTCATGACATTTTTACCTAATTTAACGAAATAACCTCCAAATGATTTTCTATCTTTCAGTGGTACACCAACTTGCATCTGATGTAGCATTTAATTTCCCATTGTCAAGTATATACTAAACAAGCATTTTGTGTTTCTTTAATATATCTAAATATCCTCTTCACAGCTTTCCAGTGATTCTCTCTGGGATCTTGATTACATCTTGACAAATTACTTATGGCAAAAGCTAAGTCTGGCCTTGTGCTCGTTGCTAAGTACATCAATAAACCTAATACTTCTTGATATTTTGTTTTCAACACAGGTGGCGAAGATGCTATGTGATCAAGATTTTCACCCAAATATTCCTGGAGTCTCGACAGCTTTACATTCATCCATTTCAAAGTTTTTTAAGATTTTAGTTATATAGTTTTCTTCACCGAGTATAAATTTTCCAGATTATTGCCGAATGGTCTATCCCTAAAAATTTGTATGTTTTAGTGCCTTCTCGTAATGTAAACGATTTAGATAGTTGAACGATGTCATTTATCTCAGAATTTGAATTTTCAATCACCATTAAGTCATCCCCATACACTGCTTTGACAGGATAGTTGATCATATCTTTATAAATATAAACATATGGATCTGACTTAAGTTAAATTCCGTTCCTTAAGAACTTTACGTAATTCATCATACCAGCATTTTCCCGATTGTGGTATACTTTGTTCGGATCTGATATAAATCCAGGTGGTTGTTCTATGTAAATTGGTTTATCCAAGTATCCATTCAAATATGCAGTTTTTACATCGTAAAATCTTATTTTTTAAACTGCAATTGATAACAATGTTCTAAAGGTTGCTAGTCTCATTACTGGACTAAATTCACCTTCACAATAAATTCCTTTTCTTTCATTAAATCCGGTTGCTACTAGTCTTGGTTTGTAAATTGTTTCTATATTACCCTTTTCATCCCTTTTTGCGAATATCCAACATTTTAAATAACTTTCTTATCGATGGGTCTTTCAACTAATTTCCAGACTTCATTAGCCTCCATTGAACTCAGTTCCATCATTGTATGTAGCCAGAATTCATTTTCAGCAGATTCTACAGCTTCATCACGTCTTAGGTAATTCTTCATTTGTAATGTATACTACATAATCTTTTAACGAGTTAACTGTGATTGACGAGTATACTCGTCATGGAGAAGCAGCACAATTTTGTGTATTGACGAGTACTCTCGTCATGCGTATAATGAAATGGAAAGATAAGAGGGAGGTTTATTTAGTAAGTACCGTACATAATGGCAATGTAATAGAAACAGAGAAATGAAAAATAATAACAAAGAAACCGGAGCTAGTGATTGATTATAATAAAAAAATGGATGGAGTGGATATGAGCGATGAAATCATCATAGTGTATTCCACAGCAAGAAAACGACTCAAAAAGAACTACAAAAAGAAATTTCTCCATTTTTAGACATTATATGTCTGAATGCATTCATATTATATAAAAGAAATAATGGTACATTATCGCGCATCAACTTTTTGCTCAAATTTATTAGACACTTTACAACGTATCCAATTGAAAGAACTAAATTGACAATTTAGATGCAATATAAGCCAATTAATTAGGCGGGAATCATATTCCAGATCATATGCTCGTAACATCGAAAAAAAAAAAGTTTATGTGAAGGTGTTCGCACTGCTACAGAAATAAGATCAGGAAGGAATCATGTTACTGGTGTTCGATTTGCAAAGTCCCATTGCGTACAGTACCCTGTTTTGCTGAATATCACTCCAGAGCAGGAATTTAAATTCTTACTTTTATATGTATAGTATTTAATTTATTGCATTTTTAGTTTAATCTGTATGTAATATATGCTTATGTTAAGTAAATATTAGAAATAAAATTTTCAATTTTATAAAATAAACCCATCTTTTTCATCCAATATCTTACCAGTGCAACTTACTCTGTGATTGAAAAATATACTTGTCATGGCTTGATTCCGGAAATACAAACTGGTGCGCACTCTTAAACGAGAGTGCAACAGTTAACTGGTTATTTTTTCGGGGGGCTTTGTCATTCGCTTTGGTCTTTTCTGTACAGAATTTCCATGACTATCATTTCCAGGTTCTTCATTTATTTGTGGATGCTCTGTTGGCTTTTCCAATGAATTCTTATCGTCGCATTCATCATCAGTGTTTGATGGTAAAATTTTCTTAGCTTCTTCATCTGTTGTATTATCTTCTCTATTGTATTTGTCTGTTATTTCTCAATTGTTTACACTGCTATCAGTTTGTTCCTAGTAAAAAATATGAAATTCTTCTAATATTTGATTTTGATTGAATTTTAAATAATTTTCTTTTAGTAAAGGTGATTAGAGTTTCTGTTCATTAAATTTTACATCTCTTCACTTCTTGAATTTTATTTAGTTATCAAATACAGGAATATAAATTTTGTATGCTTTTCTCTTCATGCTTTATCATAATTCCTTTTTGAGCTTTTAGATCCATCTTTCTAAGTTTTTCTCGTCTTATATGAACATATGCTTCATATCCAAATCTTTTAAGATAATTAATGTTAGGCTTGTGTCCTTTATATAGTTCATATGGTGTAAACTTTTTATAATTTTTGTGACTCCTGTTATTCACACGTGCAGCTACTTTAACGCTTTCAAACCAAAATTTTATCAGTAATTCTGCATCAATTAACATAGGTCTAGCATATTCAATTATAGTACGATTAAAACGCCCAGCTTTTCCATTACTTTCCAGGGTATAAAGAGTTGAAAGTTCATGTTTAATTCTCATTTTTTCAAAAAGTTCTTTTATACTTTTAGCTAAAAATTCACTAACATTATCACTACGAATTCTTTTTTTAGTTTGTCTTCCTTCTTGAAGCTTGATTAGAGCTTCTGAAGTTTCACTTTTCTTCTCAATTGTTATCACAAATATGAAATTACTGTAACCATCTACCACTGTTAAAAAATAACTTCCATCTATTGATTTCTCAATTGGTTCAACTAAATCTATGTGCTATAATTCTAAAATATCTTCAGATTGCTTAAATTCCACACTTTTATAAGATGTTCGCGTCATTTTTAACGTCATTCAATGTACAAGGTTCACGATTGCTTTGAGAAATGTTTACATTTTCTAATCCAATGACCGATGAGTTTTTTTTTTTAAATTTCTATCAGCCTTTGATAATTTATATAACCTAGTCTCTGATGCCACAGTACATCATTAAGATTAGTAATTTTAGCTTCTTCAACTATATTTCCTTCAACTTCAAATTTATTTCCATTACTGTTAGCTATATATAGAATGTTTCCATGTTTATTGATCACTTCTGCTTTAGTTTTGGTACAAATTACTTTTAAATCATGATCTACAATTTTTGATACAGTAAATTTTTCCCTTAAATTCGGTACTTGCAAAACATTTTCTATCTCAAGATGTTCTTATTTCTATCAGTTTGCATTTTAATGTTACCAATACCAAC